GAAGGAAGGGTTGCATGGGAATCACAGGAAGGTGTGACCAGAGATTGGGAACAAAAGGCAAGTTGTGTTATGCCATGCTAGAAATTAGAAATTTATTCTAAGATTTGGAGGTAGAATGTCATTGTAATGGTGGGGACTGAAATAAAATTCCAGTACATTAAGGAATCAGTAGAAAGGGAAGAAAAACCAAGAGGTGGCTAATGTTTTCAAAGTCGATACCTATGAAGCAAGAGTGATTAAAAAAAAAAAAAAAAAAAAGGATAGTGCCAGAGAAGAATGTATTTTGAAATCAGGCCACACTTGAACATGCTTAGTAGTGATGGAAAGAAACCTAATGATGACAGGAGAGTTGCAGATACAGGACAATCAGATACAATTCCCCCAATTCATACAGTAGGAATACAAAAATGATGGGAAGAGAGGAGATCGGGAACCCAGGTGGAGAAATTAGCATTAGATAATTAATTTATACACTGAAATGGGAGGCAGAGGAAAGAGGATAAGTGCAGGTACAGATAAGCTGCTTTGGTTGCATGAAGCTGAGAAAGTTATATTAATGGTTTTCTATTTTCTCCTTGAAGTAGGAGGCTAGGACATATGCTGAGGGGTAAGAAGCGAACTGGCAGAAAAAGAGGTTTAAGAAGAAGGGAGATGTTGAAAATAGCTGTTGCAAAGAATAGGGGCAAAGACTAATTAGGAAATCGATGGTAGCCCAGTTGAGACTAGATGTCATGAATTTAGAGGAGCACCGAAATGCTAGGTTATCTCCATCATCATTCAGCAGTAGGGATATTTGTGCAAAGAGCATAGGCAGTTATATTCAGAATTAGCTCTTTTCAGATGGATATTTTAGAAGGACAATAGAACCCTGTGCCACTCATGTTTTCAATAAAAAGCAGATTAGGATAAATGTAACATGAATGATACTGACAATGATGTCTATAAGCATGGAGAGAAGCAGCAAGTCGATATTGGCTGCATTTGTCAAATAGGACAGTGCTAATTTTCTAAGATAGATGGGAAATGGCAGAGCAGTCTAGGTGAAGAAAATTCATGGCTGATGGTTAGGCACAGTGCTCATAGAGACAGGGAGATATCTTCCAGAAATGGTGGGTCTTTGCTGAGAAGTAATGTGAGCTATATCTTTTAGGTATGTGTGCCTAAGTCTAGAAAGCCTTACCATACATGTGAGTGTGTGTAAAAGTTTGGAGTCGTTGGGAGCCAAAGCCAAACAGTGGTAGATGTGTGCACAATTGGGGAATAAAGAACCTACACATACATATTAACTCAGATCTCCTTATTCACATCACTATTGAAGTTGACACTGAGGCTTTACTTTGGTTAACAATATTTTTTTTTGGCTATTCAGTGTTATAAACAAAAATGTGATATGCATACTGCTTATAATATTCTATAGCTAGCATAGTTGCTTTTGAAAAATCAATATCTTTCAGTTTCTGTGTTTTTTGTTTTTTTCTTCAACCAATGTCTATTAGGTACCAGGTGCAGTTTTAGGCACTGAAATTAAAGCATGGAACAAAACAGAAGAAAGAAAAACCCTGCTCTCAAGGAGTTCTCCGTTTATTGGGAAAGACAGACAGTAAATAAAAAAAAAAGAAATAGAAAAAAAAAACATAACAATGAGGCATGTTCTTTAGAAGTAAATGAACAAAAAGCTTGGAGAGGATATGGACAGTGCCAGAGCCTGAAGGATGTTTTACAATTTTAAATTGGGTCCTCAGCAGAGGCCTCATTGTGAGGTTGACATTTGAAAAAGAACCAAAAGATCCAACAACAACAACAACAACAACAACAAAAAGCCACTGTACAATCTGAGGTGACTGTGAGGACTTTGATTATCACTCTGAGTGAGAGGGCAGGTCACTCAGACTCTTCTGTTCAGAGTGAGAAAGCAGGTCATTGGTGGTTTCTGAGTAGAGGTGGGGAACATGGACTGATTTACATTTTCAGAGGCCCACTTTAGCAGGCGTATAGCGAATAGAGTGGGCAGATGAGAGGACAGCTGATACAGAGACTAGCAAGACTCTTACAGTCATTCAGGTGAGCAACGGTGCTGCTCTGTGCCAAGGGCAGCACTGATGAAGTCATGAGTCATTGGAACATGGACATATTCTGAAGATAATATCTACAGGATATGTTGAAGGACCAGATATATGATATGAATAAAGCAAAATTTCTGTTAAGTTTTGATCTGTGCTGAAGGATATATTTACCATTTACTGAAGTGAATAAGGCTGCAGGTTGGGGATGGAGATCAGGTGTTTACCTTTAGACCTAGGAAGCCTGACATGCTTATTTGACATCCGAATGCAGATGCTGAGTAGACAGCTGGATATATGAATCAAGAGTTAAAGGGAAAGTCCAGGGTAGAGATATAAATTTGAGGCATGTTCCTGGCACAAGTAAATACAAGCAGAGCCTAACAAGGCCTTAAGGACAGGGTACCAAAGTCCTGCACAGCTTAGTGGGAGGTTGGGGAACAAAAAGCAGTGAGGTGAAAAGACTCAAGAAGAAGATGGCCTCTTGAAGTCCAGTGAGGAAAATGTTTCACAGAGAAGTGATGTCAGATGGAGTTTGAGAGTCACCACTGGCTGTAACAACGTGAAGTTTATTGTAACCGTGACCAGAGTGTATGAAGTTGAGGGGTAGACTTTCTATGTGGATTAGGTAGAAGATGAAGATAAAATAACTAGAGACAACTCCCACAGGTAGTTATTTTGAGAGGTTTTGTTATAAAAAAAAGGGGGGGAGAAAAATGACACATTGGCTTGAGGGGGAATTGAGATCAGGAGGACTTTTTTAGAGGTTGGGTACTAGGGATTAAACCTAGAGGCGCTTTACCAATTAACTACAGTCCCAGCCTTTTTTTTTTTTAAGTTTTGAGATGGGGTCTTACTTAATTGCTTAGGACCCCACTAAACTGCTCAGGCTGGCCTGTCACTTGACATCTTCTTGTCTCAGCCTCCCAAGTCATTCAAATTATAGGTGTGAGCCACTCCCAGCAAGTAATTTTTAAATGTTGATGGAAATGAACTGGTAAAGGGAGAAAAAGTGATCATGCCCAAGGGAAGTGGAACACAGCTACTATAGTATCTTTCAGTAAGGAAGATGGACTAGGACCTAGTGGAAAGGTGTTGGAGTTCATACAATAGTTTGGATACTTCATCTATGATGCCAAAGCAAGCAGGAAAAGTGTGTGGGTAAATGCAGATGTTGGGTAAAGGTGGCAGTAAGAAATTGTGGAAATGATTTTCTGATTGTTTGAATTTTCCCAGTGAAATAGAAAGTGGTGTATGAATTTTAAAATAACAATAACATATTGGTTGTAATAGGAGATCTGGAAAGTACAGAGAGATCATTTGAGGTTAGTCATCATGTATTGAAAGGTGAACCAATTAAAAAACATTCACTTTTAAAAACACATTGATTTGTGTGAGCTCAAGAGTAGAAGAGTCAGGGATTTAGATTTAAGCAGGATTCGAGTTTTGTCTGGTGAAGGAGGGAAGCCAGATGGGACCAAGGGAGTTGGTTCCTAAACACATGCTAGAAAGTGCATGTGCTTTCTCTGGGTAAAGAGAGAAAATTAAGTAAGCAAAGGGCAGTGGAAAGGGTATGAGATTGTCAAATTGAAAGTCCTGGTGGGGCAAGACAATTTTGTTATTGTACTTAGAATTATTAAGTTTTCCAGAACTGTCAACCATTTTTAGCCAATTAGTTAAAGCAATAATTTTTAATTAAAGCATTATAATAATAAATGTTCAAATCTAATCACAGGGGAATGCTAAATTGAGTCAACTGCTGGTCACCTAGAATTTCTCCTTCCTGTAAAGACATATCTATAATGTCTCAATCTTCTTATATATTGGGAAATAATATATTACCTCCAAAAGATTGGCAATATCACATAAATTAAAGATCATGGTTTGTAACAGATATTCTCAAAGTTCAACCATTTTTGTTTCTTAAATATTTGTAAACATCGCCTCTTCAAAACAAAATTACTGTTTTCATCTGTTTGTAATTTGATCTCTTGTCAACACTTCTAGTTTTCCACTGCATATAAATAGTAGACATGTGGGTTTCTGTCTTCAGAATGTAGGAGCCCCATCTATCCTTGGTAAGGTAAGAACACACATTAATATAAGCTTATAGATGATTATATAATAAAAAGGGATCCTAGGGAATGGTACACCAGGATACTAGGAAATGGTACATTTGTATTCCTGGTTTATAACAGTGCAAATGTATGTCCTGCTGGAAATGATATATAGAATCAAGCAATTCTGAGGCACAAAAAAAGTCTTTTTCTTTCAGATGAGCATATGGCAGAAATCTTGTAAAGAATGCATGAATTTAAAAGCTGTTTTCCAGCAGTTTTGCAGAGTAATAGATATGAGAACCAGAGATGTGTTATGTGGCACTGAACCTCAGCTTTTTCTTGCTACGATTGACACACCAAGATAAAAATCCCTACCATTTCCTCTGTATCACTTAACACCTACTTGAAGGCCCACAAATAAAAATAAAATATAAATATTTAAACTATAATGGATTGTGAGCATCCTATCCTAGAGATAAAGCTTCCTGGAGGTTATGTGTATAGTCACTCTCAAATCAAATATATCAGAGGATGCCAATTTGAAGAGTTAAAAGATGGGCTTGCATTATTGTAACTCCTTTTTTTTTAATATATATATATATTTTTTTGGTTGTAGGTGGACACAATACCTTTATTTTATTTTATTTTTTTGTGGTGCTGAGGATTGAACCCAGTGCCTTACATGTACCAGGCAAACACTCTATCACTCAGCCCCAGCCCCAGCCCTATTTTAACTTCTTAACCATCAAACTAAAGCACCTGGCATCAACAGACCTGAGTCAGAGTCCTTAAGGGTGAGGCTATGGGAAGTGGTTTCCTACACTTCATTTTCCTACTCACACCACTGTTTTCTTCTTCTTCTTTTTTTTTTTTTTTACAGCCACATTTGCCTTGCCAGCAGTAAATCCTGAGCATTTCAGAATGGACCCAACCAGAAAGACAACATTTCAAAAAGTTTTAGGTGAGTTGGATTCAGATATAGGGCATGTTGTAGGCACAGATGTCAAGCAGGTGTTTTATTTTCAGCTATCATTCCCCACAGAAACTTTGTACTCTTTGAATTCTTTGAATTAAAAGAAAAAAGGCAAAAGGTATGAAACAGTAATTTTCAGAAACTGAGAAGTAGTCAGGAGAGGGAGGCCTTGAGGGAAGGGAAATGAGTGAGCGAAGTCCTATCAATACTCATCCTGTTGAATGGGGGCCGTTTTCAGGTCACAGTGAAGGTAGGGAATCAGCCTGATTCAGTCAAAAGAAAATTGTTTATAAATCCTTGGTGTCAAACAACACTTCTTGTGGGAATTTAGAATAGTGCACCTAGATCGAAAATAGTTCAACAATTTCTTAAAATATGAAACACATACCTATCATGGTTCAGCCATTTCATTCTTACATATTTACCCCAGAGGAAAGAAAATACCTGACCACATAAATAGTAGTGCATGAAAGTTCATAGCAGCTTTATTTGCAGTATCCCCAAACTGCAAACCTCTCAGATATTTATCAATGTGGATAATCAAATGTGTCTTACTTATGCAATTGGATCTTCACCATATCAAGAAATAAACTGTTAATATACCCAACAACAGGGAATGCATCTTAATGATGCTGAGTGATGAAAGCCTGTTAAAAATATGTACAGTATGATTTCATTTATAATAAATTATACTTAATGGGAGCCCATCTATAGTGAAAGAAAGCAAAACAGTGGTTTCCTAGGCAGGTGAAAGAGGGAGTGATGACAATGGGCCACAGTGAAACTCTTGGGAGTGAAGGAAATGTTCACTGTACTATTGGTGGTGATGGTTTCAGAAGTGAATACATATGTTAAACTGATCAGATTGTGTACTTTAAATACACAAGTTGTATTTTATTACAACTGTGCTTCAAAGATATTGTAAGAAATAAACCTGTACTAACAAACTCTTTTATAAGCTTTATATTTTATTCTAAACTTAAGTTCATGGTTACCCCTTTAGGGTAATTGCTTTTTAAAGCCTACCTCTAATTATAGAACAGTGTGCTTCAATTCCTTCAATATGGTGCCAGGATTTAGCAAGTGGATGGGGAATACATCTAGAGAGTGAAGAAGATAATAGGAAATAATGATCTCTAAATGGAGGGTGAAGTATGTTGCAGGAGAATATGTATATCACTTAAGCATTTACTTTTTTTTTTTTTTGACAATGCATAAAATCCAGACATCTAGGGAAGTAAAGAGCTTAGGATGATCTCTCTTGCCTTCCAAACTAAAGATCAGTTTGATTTTCCCAAGTCTTAAGATTACAAATGAGACAAGATAAATTTGTTGTGAATTATGCCAACTGGTGGGTTGAGAGTCAGGAATGTAAGTTGCACCATGAAAAGTTCTAAGTGAGAATTTAGAAATAACCTAGCCTGACTCCCTCATTCAATAGATGAACACAGTGGGAACAAAAAGGTGAAATGACATCTTAATACCCTCTAGTCAATTTCATTATGTGCCAATCAGAGATCAGTCACGGTTGTAAGGACAACCTTATTTAGTTATTTTAACAAGAAAAATTAAGAGATTGTATCAAAGATCTTAAAGATCAGGGCATCATTGTCCTTGCCAATTTTCTTTCCAATACACCTATTGATGCCATTAACACAGACACACATCTGTAGTGTAGTGATTAGAGTGAGTGTTAGTGCAATGGATTGGAGCAGATTTCCTAACAGATTCCATTTAAAATACTTTCATTTATGCATGGGCTTCAAAAAATGCCAGGCATATTTAAATTAACATGAAAATCAATAACAATAGTTTCAGGTTTATGTATGATCTCATTCTAAGAGATAAGTTTAGTATGAAGGGATAATGCAGTGTTTTCTGTTATAACACTACTTAAATTCAGCACTGATTAAAAGGTTGAAATAAGTTCAAATATCATTGCTTTCATTTTTATCGGTGAATCCCAAATGGAAATTCTGAAGCTTAAATTGATGTACAAAGTGCTATTATTCTCATGTATTTTTTGCCTTGTAAAACTTATAACCCAGCACAGTATTACTTCACAAACAAAAGCTTTGCAAGGTTATCTTTTTTTGTCTGATTTGCCTCATAGCTCCCTTGTCTCCTAAGCTTGTATTACACATTCTGAATAGGACCCTGTGAACATAATTAAGGGTCACACATATGGTATAAGAGTAGGGGAATGAGGAATTAATTTCTCAGCTTTTTTTTTTTTTCCCTGGGCTTCAGATTGGTTTGCAAGTTACTATTCAATTCAGCAACACAGAGCTCAGAGGGAAAAAAACCAAACTGCTACAGCTGCTTTGCATTATAAAAGCAAGAAAGAGAGAAGGAGAAAAAGATTAGTTTTTATTTGCACACAAAATGAACATCTACAGTCTGTATACTCTGGGAATCGCTCCATGTTTTGGGTTAGGTAGGTCTTTTAAATGTTCTTTTTCTTTTTCTCCCCAGTTCTACTCAGTTCATGAACATCATTAAAATTCAGACAGAGTACCCTTTTGGGCCTCATTCATGCAAATTGTGGACTATTCAAAAGGAAGAACATAAAGGTGATGCAGAATGGCCAGGAAATTGCACTCTAAGGGTGGTTATTAATGACATGAAGGGATCTGAGGAGCAGGACTAAGCCTTATCTACAATGAGTCACTATCTCTAGCATTTTGACTGACATCCAAATGTGGTTTTACTGTGCTTTCACCAAGTCAATAAAGACCAAGATGCTTCTAAAGACAAGAAAATAATAAAATGGGTGAATTTATTGACATAACATCATAGGTGTTAATAACATGTTTAAATAGGCATTAATTACTTCATCATGTAGAACAGCACACTTAGTGAAAATTTATTATACTAATTTTTGTCTTCCTACCTACAGCCAATTGGGTAGGCTTCAAGGAAATCAAATAACATTAGACTGGTCTCTTTTTAGGACTAAATTCACCAGTGGGTGCAAATAAGTTTGTAACATCTCAGTCCTAACAAATTCACGGCACCATCTTAACTTGGAAAATTCATTCTTTTTCCCTTTAATGTCTACTTTTATACTAATACATATCAATTGTACATAGTAAAAGTATTCACTGTAATATTTTCATGCATGCATACAATGTCTACTCTTCCCCCAATGTCTCCTGCATGTAACACCCACCCACTACACACACATCACATACCTTCCCAGTCTGTGGTCCCTAGAAATCAATATTCTACTACCCTAAGCTTCTTTGTGGCTTAATAATTCTATATTGTACACAGGTACCATATTTCCTTTTCATTTATCTGTTGATGGGCACCTAGACTAATTCCATATACTAGCAATTGTGAATAACAGTGTAATAAAAATGGGCATGCAGGTATTTCTTTTCTGCTGACTTCATTTCCTTTGGATATATACTCAACTGTGGGACTGTTGTATCATATGGTAGTTATACTTTTAGTTTTTCATGGAAACTCTATACTGTTTTGCATAGTGGCTATACTAATTTTCATTTCCACCAATTATGTATAAGAGTTCCCCTTTTTTACACTTTTCTCAGCATTTTTTACTATAATTTTTTTACAAGAGCCATTTTGACTGGGATGAGAGAATATATCATTGTAGTTTTGATTTGTATTTTCTTTTTCTTTTTTTTTTATTTTTAATATTTATTATTTTTTAGTTCTCGGCGGACACAACATCTTTGTTGGTATGTGGTGCTGAGGATCGAACCTGGGCCCCACACACGCCAGGCAAGCGCGCTACGGCTTGAGCCACATCCCCAGCCCTTGATTTGTATTTTCTGATGGTTAATGATATTGAACATTTTCTTATATATTTATTGGTCATTTGTCTATTTTAAGAAGTGTCTCTTCAGATCATTTGCTTATTTTTCTAACTGGTTGACCTGGGGTTTTTGTTAAGTTTTCTGAGTTCTTTGTATGTACTGGATATAATCCTCAGTCAGGTGAGTAGCTGGCAAGTATTTTCTCCCATTCTATAGGTTTTCTCTTCACGCTGCTTGACAGTGCAGAGGGTTTTTATTGATGTAATCCCACGTGTCAATTTTTGCTTTTGTTTCCTGTTCATCTAGAATCCTATTCAGAAGATCATTGCCTATACCGATATCTTGAGGTGCTCCCCTATATTTTCCTCTGGTAGTTTCAGGTTTTATATTAAAGTCTATCACTCATTGAATTAATATTTGGACAGGGTGAGAAATAGATGTCAAGTTTCCATATTCTGTATGTTCATCAGTTTTTCCAGCATCATTTGTTTGTTAAGATGATATCCTTTCTCAAATGTATGTTTTTGATACCATTGTGAAGAATCAGTTGGCTGTACCTGTATCACTTTGTTTTGTTGTTGTTGTTCCAATCATTCATGTGTCTGCTTTTATGATGATTTTTAGCTGCTTTTTGTTGCTGTGGCTCTGTAATGTGCTTTAAAATCAGTTTTGTGATGCCTCCGGTTTTGCTCTCTTTGCTCAAGGTTGTTCTGGCTATTTGGGGTCATAAAGCTCCATTTAACATTTGGGACTAATAGATAACATTCATTGAAATGTTGGGTTCTGTCTTGTAAATGAATGCTATTGTCGTTTCTGACCTCTTCCCCAAACTTTTCAGTAGTCAAATTTTGATTTGGTTTCCTCTTCCTCCAATGTATTCACTTCTTCCCATTTTTTTCCAAATGAGGTACTATAGGAATCCAAATAGCCTCTTCACCTTTTCTCCATACTCCCATCATCTCTTATCCTATCCTTATCTTTACCTACCTGCTCAGGTTAATGGACTGAGAACAGACATTTCCTCCTTAAGAAGGAAATGACACAAGAAAAGATTTGTAAGTAGAAAGCAAGCATGCATCTCCAGGGTACACAGGGGGTGAAAGGAATAGAAATAGTGGAAATATAAAGGAATCAAAAATGAAGAAAAACAGGATGTGGAAATTGGATGGATGTAGACAGTAGAGACAAACCTTTGGAGAAGAC